TGCGAGAAAAGTGAGAAAAGTTGTTGCAAAGACGATTTTTTAAGATATATATGTTTTGTGACAATATAATTACTCTTTACAGATTTCGAACTACTTTCTACATCTTTTTCTTGCGAGAAAAGTTGTTGCAAAGACGATTTTTTAAGATATATATGTTTTGTGACAATATAATTACTCTTTACAGATTTCGAACTCGAAAATCAACTTTCTACAGATACATTTCAGTTTGGTGGGCAGACAGGAAACACTGTAACACAATTGGTATTTAGGAAAAAGTGACAATGAAAAAATATTTTATATGTGTACTACATCGCAGTGCATTACATCGAAATAAATGAGATATTTATGTATAATCTGTATAAAGATTTTGATAATCACCTTCCACACTTGAGAATAAATAAATGTTTCGGAAAGGTTCAAGGTTTTATTTGTGCACAAAATATTTAAATACATAACATGATATTAAAGTGAGACTAATTATTAATTCTACATTTTTTTATAACTCTATCATTACATTACAAAGTTTACAAAAGATACTTATACTATAATAAATTAAAGCTTGCAATAAATCTCTGTGAGATTAATTAATATTCTAAATATATGATAAATATATGATAGAGTACAGAGAGGAATAAATATATTATCGAGTGCATTTATATTATCATAGTACTTAAGGCATTATTGGCAAAAGTTCATATTTCTCAAAAAGACTTACTTCAATGATCACATTTAAATCGATTTACAGAATCAAGATAAAAATTTTTGTGTTGTTTTGTATAATAAAGAAAATATACATACATTGTATATTTTTATACATTAAAGAATAAATTATACTAAATATATTAACATGTACATCTAAATGAATGTTTTTTAATGCTCTTAAAACATGAAGCTTAATCATATACACACTATAAAAATGTACATACTACTAAAACACCATTCTTTAATTTAGAATTCTGAAGATAGTTAAATTCAACAATCTAATTAATCGACCTAATAATAAATTTTATCTCAGTTATATAAATATTATATACTCTTTTTTATAATTTTTTTACTTGTATTGTGATTATTATAAAACAGAATATGAAAATTAATAATAAATATAATAATAGTAATTAAATGACAGACAGTTTCTCTGTAATCATTACACTATCGATACAATTACATAAGACAAAATTGATAGTGATATTTATTTGAATAAAAATTATTTAAAAATGGCAAGAGCAAAATCGTTTATTTGTATGGATTCAAAATTAAGAGTGAATAAAAATTCATATTATTCATTGTTTTATAGAATAAAAAATGCAAAGCTACTTGAATTTTTCTTTGCAATTTAAATGTAGTATTACATATCTTATCGCTAATTATAGGATTTTAATATATATATATATATATATATACGTCGGTTATAAGACGATTGAATATAGATATAATTTTCCAAATTTAAAACGAATAAGAGAAATAGAATTAGAAAATATGAAACTTTACGTTATACTTGCAACATAGTGAATTTTATATTTTATATGTATACAGACTGTTTCAGAAACCGTACATTTTTTCCGAATTACTTAAATAAGGTAAGGATATTGACGACAAAAGAAAAAATTAGTTATAAATAATTGTAAATCTACGAAATATGTAAATGTCTTACTATTTTATATGGATTCTTGTTAAAAATTTGCGGAAGAAGAGATGATTATCAAATTTTTCCTTGTCAAAGAAAAACAATTTTTTCAAAAAATCTATAATCGCAAAAAAGTGCGCGATTACTGGAACAGTCTAAATTCAAGATAAAAAATGTATGGCTATTTTACACATAAATGTGCTTTACTATTTTAAAATTTGAACGTATTCATACATATATCATACTTAAATGCTTCGTTAAATTAACGAGATTGATGATACTCTTATAAATAAGTGTATTCTAGCAAGTATATTCTTGCGCAATGTCGGATTCATTAATTCGAAGAATTATTATTTCTCTACTGTGGTTATCATACAAGTTCAGGAATTGACAAGATAATTTTTGAAAGCTTGAAGATTTAGATGTAGTTAAGTCTTCCAAGAATAAGCGAAACAGCCAGAAAAGTCATCGTATACGACGTGAAGATGGATGAGCAACCTACGAAGGATGTAAATAACGTTTTAAGCTGATAATACATTTTTAATATCAGCATCTTGTATGCGCGAAAAGGCGATATTCGCCCAGCTATTTCATAGCTAGTTTTATAAAAATACTCAAACTGCCGTTATTACAACACATATTTTTTATGAGACTCATATAGACTACAAATTTTAAAACAACTAAACTATATGTATTACATCATTCATTTTTCCTACTAAATGCAGATGATAAACAATATTTAATACGCAAATTATTATTATATTTTTTCTTTAATCTAACTGCATGTAGATTAAAACATCCTGCTTTTTTTCTGGAGAAGCAAAAGAGATGTTAAATATTTATTTTAAATGAAAATATTATTAATATACTAATTAAATATAGCAATAATCAACATATTAACTAATACTAAAACTAATAGAATATTTTTTTTCGTTTAACAAAATATTTTATATACAAAATTCAAAAAAAACCTGTCTTATAATATTAATACATATCTTTTACAAACCATAAAAAATTTAATAAATTTATTATTATAATGATAATTATCAAATTGTATTTAAATTTTTATAGAAACTTAGGTTTTGTATAATATCATTAAAACGGCAGTAATAAATATTATTGTTGCGTAATCTATAGAAATCGCAATCAATTTGTCTAATATATTGTCCCCACTGAATTAACAAGAATTTTTTAAAATGACAATAGATGAAGCTTACCGTTACAAAATAATGGAGTTTCTTGATAAAATCCATCTTGGCAATAACATCGTTTCCCCAAAGTAGTATTGTGTACAACGCAATGGGCATCTTCTACGCACTCTTCGTCGTTATTGCAGGCTGCATGAAGCACTAAAAAAAAAGAACGCAAATTTTTAAGATGACCTAACAATTTGCATAAGAAACTGACCCAGAGAGCAAGCTTTATATTTTTTGTCTTTTAAGGTTTGAATTTACTTTTAGAAAAAATTTTAAACATTTATTAAATATGTGATATATGTGAGTTCGTGCAATTCTAATTAATTGCTGTATAAATGCAAGCTCCATCTAATTTCTCGAGCTTGAACATAATGTCGACAGAACTTTAAGCAGTGATCGATTTGTAACTGCGGTTAATTGCGCTTAAATGTCCGAGGTAATCATCGGCAACTTTGCCAAAAATCAAATAGGAAACGTGCATAGTGATCATCTAATCAAATAAAATTGCCGAGTTTCCGGGTCGTTTCACGAATCTCTAATATTACGTATCGAACTACAAATCACTTGGTTATATAGTTATACAGTTACCTTATGCAGTTTTCAAAGTTTTAAGATTTAGTAGTTCAATTTTATTGCACGGTGCCAGGTACGGTTATTACTATCATTTCTATCAATCATTTATTGTCACATTTGATGTAATTTAATATAACAATTATGCAGACGTTTTTACTTATATAACTATAATTTGTGAAATGTTATAATAATATCTTTTTTGCAACATAATTTGCAAAGAAATAATGATTAAATATGTAATGTTTTTTTGTTTGTTTTTTTTTTTTTTTTGGTATTTTTGTTGTTGTTCTCTACTATTATGCTTTCTTCTGCCGTGCAGGGAACACTGCAGAAAAACGGGTAACAGTGGTATAACTATTGAAGGTAGGTCGGGGCAGTACTCTTTACCCGTACCAATTTGCATAGATAACCATAGACCGACTACGAACACCGTCATATGTTCACATATTGCAATACAACACGTAAGTATATGCAAATCTTGGTACCGGCTTCCAGCTATAATCATCCCATCCAAAGTTTGACTATCTCAACGAAATTAAAACAATAGACGAGACGAATAACATGCAAAACATCGGAAATACTTTATCGTGCATACAAAAATATGAACAAGAAAAATTATGTTACATGTCAGTATACAGCATGCCTAAAACCTATCGAAAAATGTTTCAACGGCGGATTTTTCGACGAATCTGAAATTAATTTTCTATCCCTGCAAATTTCTCGAATAACACGTTATAGTACTTGTCGATTGTTGTGAGAGATCTCTTATATATTAAAGTCGACCTTGCCAAGTAAAAACTCTGATCTTATCTTGCTATTTTCATTTGTTACATAACGAGTAATTAAAAGTAATGGTAATATAGAACAAACATTGTAAAAATCTGCTATCTACCTTTGAATTTATTAGAGCAGAGACCATTAAGCGGTGCCGAGTAATCACCGCAGAGACATCGGGTTCTTCCATCTCGGGGATCCGCTATGCACGTTGTATTTTGAATTCCATCACAATCATTTTTTATCTTGCATTCGCGAGCTTTACCAACTGTAATTATAGATATTATTCTATATAAAAAACTGTAATCTCTTAAATTAAAAATAACAAAAATAGCTCCCATGAAATAAAATCCCATGACAAAAATCTTGAATCACAAAAAATAAATAACATAAATTATAAATGCAAACGTTTCTGTCTTTCCTCTATCTATAAAGTTCGTTATAATTATTAATAATTTTCTTTCTTGCTATTTAAAATATTTATCGAAGAACCTCTCTATCTTTATGGAATAAAATCTATAAATACAATTATATCTTGATTGTGCAAGAAACAGTATGAAGAACTTAGAATGGTGATCGTCAAAAAGTCATACAAACTAGAACTCTGACATTCAGCAGAGCATTAGTATTCATCTGCATTTCTATTTAACCTTGACTCTCAAGAATATCAGATTTTTATTCTTACGGAATTTTTAAAAAGTTTTAAATAAAATTGCGTCTGATTATTAGATACTAATTTGCATATTTATAGAAATGCCAATGTTATATAAATTTATAATATACATTTTTATAGTATCTATAATGTACTTAAGTTTGATATGTATATATCAGAGTAATAGTATATGTATGTAAAATGGAGTATTATTTCTATACAATTTTATAAAGAGCGTTAAACTGAAAATTTAGAATATTATA